TTATAAGGATTTAGGACAATGGTGATGTCTTTAGTCTCTGTTCCTTTGACATAGACTTCATTTAGTTAGTTTGGTTCTAAATTTCCACATTTGTTATGGAACACGGTGGACTGTTCTGCAGCTTATAGTGTGTAGTTTCACAGTCTCTCTAGACTTAATGCTCTCTAGATTGTGTAAAGTCTGCAGACTTTACGTATTTGTCTGCAGTTGTGAGGACTTCGTTTGTGCAGCCAGCTGATTTCTACTAGCTCAGATATCAAAGGATTTGGTAATCCAAAGAGAATTAGGTAGTTTTGAAGACCTAGATTCTTTCTAAATACATCAGACAGACAGGCGATATGGGAAGGACCCGAGAATATTGCAGTAGGATTTCAGAGATGCAGATGGGAACAGATGTTATTGTGGTGAGGATGTATACGACATATAACACACACGCTTCCTTATTGCTGCAGCTTAAGGCTCAACTTGTTTCCTTATTTGGTCATATCCTTTTAATACAGCCGTCACCTGGTCATATCCTTTTAATACAGCCTTCACCCACGTGCATGGGCCCTTCCCAACAGTGCATTATTTTGCTATTTTTAAGCCTTCGATTGATTATTTAGAGGGGTTGATTATAGGCACGTGGAAAAACATACTCCTCTACTATTTATCTTAATGTGCTTTTCTTTTCATGGTGTGAGAATATTATAGGCAGACCAGAGAGAACCAAAAGAAATGGGTTATATATATACTACTTTCTAGTCCCAACAGACCATTACTGGCTGCAGGTCTTGAACATGACACTGTAATTTCCCTGCTCCACATGTGAATAATAGCTACAGTCTTAGAGACCAAATTGAGGTATTTTTTCTCCTCTCCCACCCCAGTATTTTAACAAAACATATTTTCTGATGGTTTGCAAGAAAGCCCATTGAATGCAGAAGATTGCATCCAGGCTAACGGACATATTTTTCAGAGCTGCTGCATATTATAGAAGAGACCCTACCACTGCTGACCCTGCCAGAAGGGCCTGCCGGTGGCTGTTCTCTGCATTCTCTTAAAGTCTTCAGGTCTCAGCCTCCACCTGAGAGCTGGGTTTGAGATACAAGGAGCACTTATGTTTTTACCGCAGTGACACAAGTGATTTTGAATGCTCATGGGAGCCGGACAACTGAATGTCACGTAACTCCTGCAGATCCACAGGTCTGATTGGAGCAGCACGTTTGACACCCAGCATTGAAAGCATTATCTGTTCTCTTTAAGTTTTGAAAGGTTTCCTCCGTGCTCCATTTCTGCCCTGCTTATGGGGTTGATCCCCCTCTGAAGCAGGTTTTCTATTGAGAAATGTGTCTCTGAAAGGTTCTCTGGAAGGATACACATGCAAATATGATGTAATCTAGCAAAAGTGTAGCCTCATCACATTTTAACAACCAACTCGCACAAATGTTTAGGGTCTTGGAATGCTTCACCACAGTAGGGAATTGTGTTAATCAGGCTGATAGCCACTCCTCTGCCAGTGATAACAGTTTCTGGATGAAGCAGGCTGGCTCTCTGCTGGGAGATGTCAGCAAGGGCTGGGGCGAGCCCAGTGATTTCACTCACTGTCTGCACGATTTAGATGTGAGCATGCATGATTTGGTCTGCGCATGGAAGTGCCTCTGTGTAGGTTCAGCCTCTCCTTCCTGATGTCAGGAAGGATTGGGCATAACCAGCGTTACCTGCCTGAGCTCAGCTCCAGGTCCGCACGTCAGCTGGCAGCCTGGGTGGAAGGAGCTGGGCCTTGTGGGTCAGTGGGGCCGGAGCACGCACTTCTCCTCACAGTGCAGATGCAGGCTATGTGGGCTGCTTTATCCTGCACACTGAGACCCTCAAGCTTTGTCACTCTTCATGCCTTGGAAACCCAGCAGGAAAATCCTCTGGGATATACTTGGAGGAGGAGATGAGATTTCAGCTTCTATAGTAAAGTGAAATGTCCTCAGGAAAGGTTCAGATTAAAGCCTAGGAGTGAGTGTAACAGTGAGAACAGAAGTAGGCTGGGTTATAACATGTGGGAGCTGTGGAGACTCTATCACTGAAAGGTTTTAGAAACAGATACGGCTGTAAAATAGGACATAGATGTAGCTGGCCCTGCCAAGATGGCCTCTTGAGGTCTTTTTTTTTACATGGTTACTCTGATATCTGGCTAATGCATTATATTTGTTTAACACACTTCTACTCTTTAATCGCTTGCATTTTCATGAAACTCAAGATTTGATTCCAACATCAACTTGGAGAATGTCCTGGGACCCTGCCATCGTGGTGCTGGGATGTCTGAGCTGACCCACCCTGGGCCTCTGTCTGTCATGAGGGAGTGCTTAGTCATAGGAGAAGTTTTGACACCTTTGATTACATGTCCTACGCACCCTTTCCCAAAGCTGTAAAACACTCACTATGGAAGTATTACCATGAAACTCTTCTCTGGGGACAGCAATTAGAAAGCATCTCTTTTGCTTGCCAGGGTAAAAGGAGATGAGAATTTTGTTAGGTGTAGACATAAATAAGAGAAGGCTGCAAGGAAAAGCCATATCCTGTGCACAGCCTTGAGGTCTGTGATGAAGTAAAATGACACAAAATTTGCAGATGCTAAAAATAGTGATAACATCAGTTTGATGTTGCATTTTGTCTTCCTGCTGTAATACAGTAAAATGGCCTGTAATTCACGTTGCAAAATTGGCATGCATGGTCCTTTGAAGATACAATCTTCATTGTATGTCTGCAGTGGCCAAAGGTACAAGTCAACCCCATTGCTATGATGAGCCATACAAAGAAATAAATAAATAGTGATGAATAACACCAGCTGCACACAGGCAGCTGCCTACTCTCTGTCTTGCTCGGGTTGTGAGCTCTTTGGGATAGGAAACCCTCTGTGCCTCGTACAGACTTAAATTCACCCCTGGTGCTTAGAATGGTAATAGAATATGGTAATTTTATATATTACATTATATAAAATGTCATTTTAATTCAGAGAGGTAACTCTTAAGTCTTACTGACAGTGACATTAGTCCAGACTTAAAGAGTTTGTCTCACAGTCTATTTTTGGTATGGTATTTTGGGCTGAGCTTGTATAGCCTGTTAAAGGTGATTGGTATAGCATGAAAATGCTTTGAAAATATGTATGTATTGTGGTTTATTTATTACCTTTTATGCGTATGTCATCTGTCAATGCTAAATGGCTTTTTGCAGGGGATGATCTTGGCAGTGCCACTGGCTGGGTGGCTTCACTGTTTCTTTCCTCCTGTTCTTTGAAAGCTGTTAGCCTCTGCAGCTTTTCCCTACTCTCAACTTGTTTGGCTTTATGACCCTCTGTAACTCTGGAGTCTGAAAGCGAAACATTTCTTTCTTTAAACTGAAAAACAAAAGGCAGCCTAGAGGAGCTACACTAATGTCTCACCATCTGTTAGAAGGTTAGTAATATCACTGCCTTGAACTGTGCCTTCGTTTTTCTGTTTCATGCAGCGACCTCTCCACATTGTTTATGTTCTGGTTGAAGGGGATCTTCCTATACCAGGATGCAATAGGAGTGTCATTTTTCCTCTAACATGAGCAGATGTCCTATCTGTGGTACTAGCAATAACATTGCTGCTTCCTGTTGTTGCAGATGCTGTTAGCAGTCTAGAGCTCAAAGCAAAGAGGGGGCACGTTTCAGCCCATGCCACTTCATGCCATCAGCACCAACGCAATCCATGTAGCTCCTTTTCTACTTGTATGCTTTAACAGAGGCCCGCTCAGCTAATGGGGAAGAAGTTGCCCTGCAATGCGAATTTGTTTCCTGTCTGCTCTGCATAGAGGAGGAATGCTTCTGCAGTCTCTCTTGTTCTTGTCTACCTTGACCTGTGCCCTCTCTAGATGGGTTTATACTAGACCCACGTTACAAGCGGTGTGTTACCATATTGGGGGAAGAGGGGCGTGAGCCGAATCTGGCACACATTTAAGTGTAACTCTCCCTACCGTTAGGCTTCAGGGCACAACCTTCAAACAGCAATTATTGCATTCTTTTTGCTTTTTCTAGGAGGTCCCTATCAAATTCTGTGACACATTTCTATCACTAATCTGGCAGGCTGCCATTCAGACCACAGGAGGCCCAGCAGAGAAGAATATACACTTAGGGCCTTATTTCATCTTCATTATTCCTTACACTAGTAACATTCCTTAAAGGCTCTGGAAGTTTAATCTGAATGGAAAGTATTTTGCCTGAATAGCACCCCTTATTGAGACATTGTCACTGAGTCACAAGTTTAGATGAGTGTTGTGGCTAGCAGTTTAATCTATACTACATGGTAGTTTTTTCCACACCAACACAGGGAGTGCTAATCACTTCTAATAGTCTGACAGGATTGTCTGGCAGCGGGGCCTGAGGGACTTCTTGATTTGAGAGCTGGACTCTGAAGGAAAAGACTAGTTCCCATTTAAGAGTTTATCTGAGAATTTGCATCGTTACAGAAATGACTAAATAATGTATTTTAATGCTTATCGATGGGAAACAACCTTTACTAAAGTAGGAGAGCCAGGAGTCGTTCATGAGAAATAGATTGTGGACTATACCTGTGCTCATGAGGAAAGGAAACGGAGAAAAAAACTGTGATTTGCACTTAAAAATTAACAATAAATGAAACTTGTAAATATAAGGCAGTCTCCATAGCTGTTTGTTGGGTGATAATATGGTAGCCTTAAACTCTTTTCATATATACTCTTCTGAGACTTAGTATGTGAATGCATTGTTGCACTTAAAATGATCACTATTTGTATATGTCATTGCCATATAGAGATAAAGAGATAGTAGCATTTTTTCCACATTTTAAATCATTGCCAGTTCATTGGCCATTATTATTATTTGTGATTTCACACAGCTGTACTGTTGCAAATTACTTTCCTGTTACTTTAACCAGCTGCATTTCTGTATTTAGGAATATTGTTCCGGTCTTTCAAGGAATTCTGGTCATTTCATGGGTTCATTCAATGTTGTCGTCTTCTCATTTCAGGTCATTGAAGGAAAGCTGGCTCCTTTCTTGGGGAAGGTGATCAAGTTTGCCACCTCTCATGTGTACAGCTGCAGCCTTTGCAGCCAAAAGGGTTTCATCTGTGAGATTTGCAACAACGGAGAAATCCTTTACCCCTTTGAAGATATTTCTACAAGCAGGTACTGTATGTCATTCATACGTTTGACTTGCACGTAGTATCCTTGCAGATTTCAGCCCTAGTGACGTCTGTTTAAATAACTAGGGACTGGATCCCACTGATTCACATTTCTGGACAGCTGCTCTAGACTACTGGCCTAGGAAGGCCACCAAGAGGCTTGGAAATAGATGGAAAGAGCTACTTCCCAAAGAGCTACTTCCCAAAGCCCTGTAAATCTCAGAACGAGTGCTCAAAATGGGAAAGATCTTTAGGAACACCTCAGCATAATTTATCCAAAGCTCTTCTGAGTTTGCAAAGTGCCCTGCAAAGCCAAATGGATTCTCAGAGTGATCACAGACTTCTTTCTGGTCTCTGATGTTACTGGGCCCATGAGGTACTGGGACTGTACATTATAACATAATAACCGTCTGTTCTGATGGAACATTATGGCTAATTCTCTGCTCTCTGTGTGCATACCCCTCTGTGGGTATGTGTGCAAGGTTTTTTTTTTTTTTTTAATGACTTTGTTGTTCTCGGGTAGGTGCATAAATATACACCAGGCCCTAAGTTAAACAAAAGAACGTTTATTTAACATTATATAGAATGCTCGATGACAGATCAGGAACAAGAAGTAAAGGAGACTATATCTAGTTGCAATTGCATGGAAGACCAAGCAAGATGCAGGAAACCAGAGCAGGCTTGGCAACACAGCAGTGCTACTATATGTCTTGGATTTTGAATAAAGGGAATTATTTTTTTTTTTAATGCAACAGGAAGATGGTATTTCTGACAGCACAGCATTCCCCTATGCAAAAGTACCCTTCTGGCTTTTTCAGATTCAATCTTTTTAATTTGTTCTCTAAAGAGTTAGTTGTGTTGAAAAGAAAAAAGAAATGGAGAGCCACCTTTGTTAACCATCAGGAGTAGCCTATTCAAAATGCTTCATCTAGAATTTGATTCCTTTGCATGGAAAAAGATGTTAAATTGGGACTAACGAAGCCCTCCTGTTTGGGTATTTTAAGCCTGACATGACTTTCAAAGACTATTTGCACATTCTTTCTCCAGATTCACATTCCAAAAAATGCAGAGACAAAGCAGTGGTCATAAGTTAAACAAGGTGTGTAGTTGAGCTCTATAAGTGGTTTTCAGGAAAAAAATGTATCTAGGGTGCATGGGGGGTAGATTTAGTTAAGAAGAGAGAGACTAGGATGAAATACAGCCTGATGACTACTGAGACTGTATAAGGCAATTAAAAATACTCCCAAAAGCTTGAGGAAAACATGTAAGAGTATTTAGGAAGACAAGTTCACCTGAAGTGTCTGTGTATTTGATTTGCCTGGGGGATTTTTGGTAACAAAAGCATTGCTGGGTGCATGTTATTCTCCTGTCCTTCGGTTGAGATCAGACATACCTTGCAATTGTGGAGTTTAAAAACTTCTGGAACCAAACAGTATTTGTCAGCAATTCAGTAAAAGCCGAAAGAAACTGCTGTCTCCTGTTTTTATGTGAATTAGAACCCAGAAATTACTTTTGTTCAAGTCTCACAAATGTGAAATTGTGGTTGATGTCATGCCAAAGACAGCGCTCTTTGTTAAAGGTTTTAATTAAACACAACCAGGATGAAAAGTTCTCCAATATTTGTCTCTCTTCTTTTTGTCAGAGGTCATTCTATTTGCTCCTTTTGTACTCCTTATCACTAAACCTTGCTTTTATCCCCATTTTTTTCCATTTCCCTTCCTCGTTAGTTTTCTCGTCTCATTACTACTCATGTGTGCCTGTGCACCTCTATGAAGCTAACAAGATTATTTCAGTGCTGTATTTTGCTCTTCTCCACCTTCGGGCTGAAGGCAAGTCATGCTAACAGAGGAACTTCTGTGTTTTACTGTGCAACTCCATCAGCTGCAAAGCAGTGGGGGAGGAGGACTGGTAGAGGAGTTTTCGTGTTTTTTCCATCTTATACAGGTGAGGAAGGTTTCTGAGGGAGGTGCCCTTACCACTACAGTGAGAGGCATGAGGTGAAGAGCCTAGTTAGAAATAGGTAGGTATACATAATAAACGAAAGCAGATGCAATGGCAGGCCGCAAAAGGTTAATGTGAAGACTTGCGATTATACCTGAAATTTCTGATGACGTGTGTTTGGCTTTGCTTGTTAGTTAAGTGTAATACAGATGTCTGAGTGAACAGTTAACTCAGATTGGTGGTTCAGTTGTACTGTTTTGAGTCCATAGTGTGTAGTGAGAATTGACTGCAGTTCTCTTTCTCCATCCTGTTATTTTTAGAATTGCTATCTACATTACAGTTCTCCCGTCTTATACTGGAAGCCACCTAGGCTTTGAAGTACCCCAGCAGTAGCTGCTGAATTGACAGAACAGCAGCTGAATGCTGAAGACCTGGTTTTCCCTCTTGCTTTCAAATGTTGCTCACCTATTTTGAGCATGCTACTAATCTACTAGCAAACTGGGCTGCTAGGTTAGAGCTACTCAAAAGCGGGTGCATGGCAGCTTTTGCAAACTTCGCCTCCCTTTTGAATGTTTGAAAAGTGAAGTGTGTTAGCCTATTTTGCTATGTGTGTGTGTTGAGTAGGCATTTGTTTTTCTGGCTACCTCCGTGACCTTTCTGGCTCTTTGGAGAGAAGAGTGACAGCTGTCAGAGCGGCCATTGAGATGCCAAGGTGTTCTCAGCTGGCTGTTAACTTTCCAGCTTTGTGGTCTCCTAGGTCAGCTTGGAGGCAGAGAGATTATTTCTCTCCAAAACATTCCCAGCAGTTTCTGAAGCAGCGTTCAGATGGAATTTATGAAGGATGGGCTCTTGTTCCGATAGATATATCTGAGAGAAAAGGGGGGCCCCTCTTGAGGGCTGGAGTTTCTCTTTGGTCAGGTTATTTGCTTGAGTCATTTTTGTCAACCCTCGAGCAAACAGGGTGAATACCTGGGTTATGCACTCTGCGGGGTTTGAATACACATATGTTACATACCCTCCTCTCCCTAATCAGCATGACACATTCCTTTGTTGGCAAATGGTTCCAAAACAAACACAATCAGGTCACTTAATTAGCGGGTCTGTGGGCTGTGCTTGGCAGGCTCCTTACAGCCTGTTGGACAATGCAGCGCAACAGTTTGCTGCCTCAACTTGAGTGTAAGGGTGGGCTCCCAAAGTCAGAAGCTTTCTAATGATATTTCCTTTCTGTGGCTTTTCTTGGGAGGTGGCCATTCTGCATGGAGCTTAAAGAAGGCTGTAATTCAGTAGTTAAAGAAAATCTGAAAAATTGGCCCATCCTTTTGGGTGCCTCTTCTAATCTATTTGATCCCTCTGTTCTCCGTTTTCCTGCTTTCTGCCCTCTTTTCCCTCATTTATGTAAGAGTTCATCAAGGTTCTTTCTGAATTTCACAATATCTGTCTCTTTCTGAAGGTCTTTAAATTGTGAGAACTACTTTTAAAGCCTCCTGAGTGAATTACACATGTCAAGGAGCAAATTGCCAAATAATGTAAACTGTCACAGCTCTGCTTTTGCTGGAGCTCTGGCAACTTAAGCCACCTGAGCATCTGCCTCCTGTTTTATTTCTTGGATGAAAATTTGCCCTGGTTTTAAATTTAGCAAATAAATGTATAAAATTACCCTATTACATCACTAATTTCATTTACAAAAGTATTGAGAAATAAGTTTAAATATCCCTGAGTATAAACTGGCTGGTTAGAGCTATCCTTGCCTGTTTGTTAGCAGTTAGGCACTGCCCTTTGAGTCGTCCGCATTAACATGGTGAAAAGTTTGTTTCTTTCTCCTAACATAAAAAATAAAAGCAGAAATGAAAAAAATGCCCATGTAGTGATCCTGTAGTCTATAATAGGTGACATTATTTGTTTTATGACCTAAAATACCTTTAACAAGTTTTAAACCTTTAGGAATACTGAGAAAAATGCCATTGGAATGAGAATAGATTTATTCAGTATAAGGGCTTTCTCTTTGATTGGGTAATTAAGTAATTATAGTTATGGTTAAAATTTGTATATGCTACCCAGTTAACAAATTCTGATCTTACCAAACTCTTACTCGTACCTGTGTAGGCGTATGAGTGACTGCTCTCACGGGTGATTTGCTGTGTTTAGCTGGTAAAGCTGCTCACTCGGTTAAGAGCTGGTTAGTCAATTCCTTGCCTTTTATGTGGTGATTGTAGATGTGTGTGAACTGTGGAGAGTGGTTCCTTTGTGTTCCTATCCATTTATCAAGGCTAAACTGTTTTCACTTTGCAAAGTTAATTTGTTCTGCAGATCAGTTAAGACAGGTAGTAGACCTTTTAAGATACAAACCAGAAAACCCAAGTTTAAAATAGACGTGCCACAGAACAGGCTTAACTATATCAACCAGCTTGGATGCCTTTGGACACCATCCTGATAAGACCGATGAACGTACTTAACTTTACACATAGTGAGAAGTCTTACTAAGGGCTCTGAGGCTGTGCTTAACTTTATGCACATGCCAAAATCTTTGCGAGATTACAACTCACTGTGTTATGGATGCTGTGTCACTGGAGAAAAACAGCCTTGAGCGTTTGGGAGAATGTCAAAGATATATAGTGGGAGGGGAGACTGAAATACATAGCATAGAGCACTTCCAAAAAATACCTTGGCAGAGCTCAGCGGCATCACTCAAAGTGCATTATTTTCCATCTTACCTTTGGTGGTTTGTTTTACGCTGGACAGCCCTTCTCCAGGCCCAGTTCCACTGAGCTGTGCTGATAATATAGGACCTGATTTTCAAGAGCATAGTTTATTGGATGTTGATCATTTAAAAAGCTTGGCCAAAAGCACCCTGAAGTGGTCCGCCTAAGACTTTCTTTAAAAGAAACTTGGAGATGCTAAGCTCACTTGATAATTTAATTTCACCTGAATCTCTTGCGACTAGTCAAAATCTTCTGGACCAAATCTGATTTTTGTCTGTGCAGGGTAGCAATGTAACTTTATCTAGAATATGCAAAAAGAAAGCGATAGCTTGCTGGCTTTTTCTTCAAGCACTGTATTTTGGAA